TTGCAAGCGGGGCACCCCTGAAAACTGTCTGTCCGGGGTGGGGGTCGGGTCCCTTTAAGCCCAGCCCTGGGCTACCCTGAGGCAGCAGCTCCACGCTCTAAGTCCTCATCTGATGCCCTGCCGGCACTGCTTCCGGCCATCCTAAACCCCGGTTCAGGGTCCACTTAATGTGGACATGCTAGTTCGAATTAGCAAAACGCTAATTCGAACTAGTTTTTAGGTCTAGATGCACTAGTTCGAATTAGCTTAGTTCGAATTAGCGCTGTAGTGTAGACATACCCCGTGTGGCTTTCAAATGTATTTGATCAGCCCCCCCTTCTTTGTGTGTAGTCATTTACACCCTCCCCCCCAGTACATAGACTGCCACCAGGGCTACTCCGAGGGGGAACCTCCCCCCAGTGTCCCAGGTGCAGGGCCCAGGGCAACCCCCCTGCTGCAGGCCCCGCCCTGCCTCTGCACCATCCCATCCTGCCCCACTCCCACTCCACCCTTCCCCAAGCCCGAACCCTGCTCCGCTCCCTGACCCCCTCTCCCAAGCAATGCACGCTGAGGGTTTATGGGGGCCTGGTGCAGGGTAGAGCAAGGGTCACCCTCTCCCCATCCCCCTGCATTTACCGAGGCCGTGGGAAGCGAAGTGTTGTAGGTCTGGGGCAGTCTGCTTCCCGCTGTTGCAGTGATGCTGAGCACAGCCAGCCAGGAGAAGGCAGCAGGTGGGGCAGAGCAGGCTGCTGGGCTGCACCGCCTTGGTGAATGGGGGGGGGAGAGGGGCGACCCCTACTGCTGCCCCTGTAATCCCGTGTCCCTCCCATCCATCAGATGGTTGAGATGGTCATTGCAGGACCCCTTAAAGCGCAGGACCTATGGCTCTGACTGTGACCGAGCTCTGATGGTAGAATGGGGAGCAGCAGCTGCTGGCCCAGGTGCCCAGCTCTGAAGGCAGCACCCTACCAGCTGTGCAGAAACAAGGGAGACAATGTGAAATGTGATATTTAGTACCCCGGGACCTCCCTTACTTCTGCACTGCTGCTGCTGACAGTGCCCTGGGACTGTCAGCGAGAGCCCTACCACCTCCAGGTGAGGGATTGGGGAGAGGGGGAGAAGGAGATCCTGAGCCCAGGCTACCTCCCTTGGAGAGATTAGTGCAGGGAGGGGAGGAGAGCCTGGATGGGCCCTTCTGTACAAGCTTCAGCCCCCCAGGACTGACACACACATTGACACATTCCTGTGCCTCTGCGAACCATTGCTATAAACACATGTGATCATAGCCCCCCAACCCCTATGTGCGCTAGAACTTCAGCACTCTGGTGCTGGAGGCTATGGAATATCCGAAACCAGCTACATCTGTATGTTGCATGGGGGTTTGGCAGAAAAGGGGACTGTGACCCAGAAGAGTAAAGTGCCCTGGTTAAGGTCCAGCAAGGGGAGGGGAAGGAAAGACTCAGATGAGTGCGGAAAGGGAATACGGGACTGAGGGGAAAAGATGACACAGAAAAGTGTTAGTTCACTCTGGCTGGAATGCTTATGGGGAGGCCTGCACGGGGCCCGGGTTTGTGAGCACGTCCCTTAGGGGTTTCCTTTCCAGAGCCCTCTTCAAAACACAGCTCCAAGCATTCCCTCACCTTGCCTTTGCTGAGCTACTGCCCTGCCTCTTCCATGTCTATGTGGATGTGCAGCATGGTGGGGCAGGGTCTGTAAAATGCAGCGAATGTGTGGAGCGATAGAAATGGTTTGTGGTACTAATAACGGAGCCTTCTCCCCAGAGCAGGTTTTCAAGCATTAGGTTAAGCCATTCCCTCAGTGCCTTGCCTCCACTGAGCCTGTCATCCTCCCTCACAGGTACAAGCTGGTGGAGCTGGCATGTTACGTTATCATGGGCGTCTTCCCTGCTCTGGTGATCCTTTCGATGGTAAGTAATTCTGCCCAAGACTCAATGAGCTAGTCTCTGTCCTCCACAGAGCAAATCATGCCTGGACCACATCTGGAAAGATTAAAGGCAGGTCTACACTAAAGGGGAATGTCGAATTAAGATATGCAATTCCAGCTATATTAATTGCGTAGCTGGAATCAACGTACCATAATCTGAGTTTCCCTGCCATCTTCACAGTGGGAGGCCAATAGGAGTAAACACTCCTGTTGGCTTCCCTTACTCCTAGCAGGACCAGGAGGACCAGCTGCCAACAGGGCACCCTCTGAGTTTGATTTAGTGGATCTTTACTAGACCCGTTAAATCAAATTCCGGAAGATCGATCATGGCAGCATCTATCTTCCCCGGAAAGAAAACACGGCCTTAGCTATTGTGGCTCCTTGCTATTCAGTGGCTGCCATGTACTGTACATGGCGACACTTCTCAAACTTGGCTGGCTCCATTGGGGCATTTAGACTCAATGGTCCCTGGCCATCCCCACATACCTTCTGAGTGGCCAGTCATGGAGCTAGGCTCCCTGCTATGGGCTCAGAGTGGAGGCTTCTTTGGGCGGAGCAGTTCCATAAAAAGGTGAAATTCTGGCCCGAATCCCTGCTGGCTGATGTGGGCACGACACCCCGGACACCAGCGGGGCTGTTTGCCCTCTCACTCCAGCCATTGCTGCTGCTGTTCGATCTCTGCTGGGCTCTGAGGAGGAGACTTGTGGTTGGGTCAGCGCAGTATCCCCACCGCTGACTCTTCTCTCTCCTCATGCTTGCAAACAGCCGAACCGAGATGGCCTCATGGAGCTGATGGCTGGCGGACTATTTTACTGCCTGGGCACCGTCTTCTTCAAGAGCGACGGGCGCATCCCCTTTGCCCATGCCATTTGGCACCTCTTCGTGGCAACTGGAGCAGGCATCCACTACTATGCCATTTGGCGGTACCTCTACCGGCCGGACACGCTGCAGGCCAAGATGTCCAGATAGGCATCCGACAGACACGGAGCACGCCATTTGGTGCTTGGGGGGAGATTTTCCAAGGAGCTTGGCCGGAAAGCCATTCCCAAGGCCCGCTCCCCTGATGGGAGGGAGCCTCTAATGTTCCTCTCCATCTAGTCTCGTGCAGACGGAAGAGCCTGAAAGGTTTATTTTAAACTGATTTTAACCTTGTATAGTGTTTGGTTGCTAGGCAAAGGTTACCTAACAAAACGAACAATTCATGGGGTTGTTGGGAGAGCAGACCAACCCAAACAGGGCATTGGGGAGCTTTGTGCTAAGGCTTTGTTTACGCGGTCCTGAGCAACCTCGAAACCTGCAAACCCCTCATCCAAATGGGGGTCCTGAGCCCACAGGAGCCTGGCCTGGTCCCTGGCAGCTCTCAAGGAGAGAGGCTGCCCTTAGAGAGCAGCAGTTAGCTCCAGGAGGGACTTTGAAGGCGGCTGATGCATGAAGGTGGCTAGGAAAAATGGACATTTGACACTAGCACCAGGATCAGAGCAATAACGCACCAGGTTTGTTTCCCATCCTAACGAGACTCCATTAGTGGATAGTTAAGTGGACAACTTCTTAAGCAAGTCTTGATTCTGCCTAGAAAGGAGAGCAGTCAGTCAGACCTCATAAGAATCAATCATGTCTGTCATCGAATGGGGCTTTTTATAGGGCAGATTCTTTAAAGGGCTACCTCCCTACCCCTCTTGCTCCCGCTAGACAACTAACTTGGGGTCAAGCAGGCTCAGGTAGCCAGCCGCAGATGAGCAAGGTGAACCTGAGCGTGGTTTAACCAGGGATAGTTAAGATCACACTTCCCCGACCCACAGAGTTCTGGAGGCAGAGAGAAGGGCTGGGAAAGAAGTTTGGGGTTTGGCCAGTCTCCAGCTGCAGCATAAAATCTTAGGTCAGGGCCTGACTGAGATCCCAGGGGTGGGGCTGGGATGCGAAGGGAGCTGCTTCCTAGAATGAGTTACCACTTGTGGACCACGTTGAGCTCTGGATGGGAAGTTACAGGCACTGGGGTGTATTCCCTTTTGTAATACCGCTGCTAGCATAGGCAACTTGTGGTAGCTCTCTGCACCCCTCCCCCCCCCCCATCCTGTGCTCTCACCAAAAAGTTAATTGGGAAATGGGGTGTCTCCTCAGGCCCCCTCCCTGTTCTTATGGGTGGCCCTTCCTGCACCCCCATCCCGCACAAGCACCAGTTGCCTATGGCTGCCAGTGTCTCAGTCAGCCAAAAAATGAACAGCACTGGGCATCCCTAGGTGTCTATAGAGATCCTTATTTCCATGTATGGTGAGCTGGGAGGTTTCACACATGTTTTCCCTGACTATCCCTGTGCCCAGCTCATTACTGTATCCAGAGGAAACTGCTCCCATTTGGGGCTTTCCTCACTCTTGTTCCCAGGCAGAGATTTCGGGGTGTACGTCTGGGCAGTGCAAAGAGGCCCATGCCAGCAAGCCTCAGACTCTGGGATGACTGACTTGGAGTTGTGCTGCAGGGTTAGTTTTTAAAGTGCTGCATAGTCCTGTCTTTTGTTTCAGCAAGATCAGACGAACACGGCTACATCTCTATTACTACCTAGCAGTGTAGAGGGTCAGGTGTGGGGTGGAGTCTGGCTCGGGGGCGGGGAGGTCTCAGAGCCCAGGCTCCGGACCCAGCTCAGATGTCTACACTGCTATTCTTAGCCCAGTCTCTCCAGCCCTGTTAGTGGAATCTGGCTGTGAGACTTGCTTCAGGGATACCCTGAATGATTCCCACAGGACCCTCTACTTCCTCAATAGCCCAAAGAAAGGCTATGTGTATGCAAAGGTGTCTGCACTTCTCTTCTCTCCCTCTGCTGCTGGGCGAGGATCCCTTGTATCACCACAGAATCTCTGGCTGATAAGAAGGTGTCCAAATGCACATGGTCAGCATGTGAGAATAGTGAGCTAAGCACCAGCAGTGTCCAGTGGTTTCTACTGGTTGCCTTGCACTTAGCATGTTGGAAAATCTGTGTTGTTTAAGGCTTCAGTCTGCAACAAACAGGGTGGGGAGAAGAGGTAACTTGGGTGCAAGGGCCTTGAGAAATCCGTTCAGTGGTGACCCCAAATTCCAGGGGTGTCTCCTGGCTGGGGTAAGTCTTTGACATCCAGGCTCTGGGATTTCGTTTTTGCCCTGACTCCCAGGCCTGAGTTACAGCAGGGAGATAGGAGAAAGCAGCAGTGAAAATAACTTAGAATTTCTTACAGGCAGGGTACATCTACACAGCAGCCTTATTTCAGAATAACGGATGTTATTCTGAAATAACAAGGTGTGTGTCTACACACAAGCAATTATTTTGACATAATGTCGAAATAATGTCTCGCCGGAGGACTTCTTAGTCCGACTCCTGTAACCCTCATTTTACGAGGATTAAGGGAAGTCAGAGGCAGAGTGCTCTATTCCGAAATAAGTGCTGTGTAGACGTGCCCAAATTCGAAACACGCTATTTCCACGTAAGCTACACAATTAGCGTAGCTCAGGTTGCATTGCTTATTTCAAGCGTAGCCCTGCTGTGTAGATGTACCCGTACTGTCCTATTATAGCCCGGGTCCCTGTCAGCTCTTTAAATAGCTCCCTGCTGGCTTTGCCGCAGCTCAGCCGGTTCTTACTGGACCTGCGCACTAGGGTGCACCTGCCTACTTTTACCTCTGGGAGAGACTTTCACTAACAGAACCAGGGCAGGCCTGGAAGCCTTCTGTTTCTCCCCAGGTTTTCAGGTTTGTTTTAAGTGTTTAATCAGATCATAGACAATTCCTGAAATCCCCTGTCTCTAAATGCTGGCGAATGTTAACGCTTCAGACAGTATATGTAACAAAAGACACAAGCCTCAGAGCGATGTCCCAGGCTCTGGAATGGAGACGGCTATTCCAGCAGCTCATCTGCGCTCCCCAGAACTCTGCAATCCAAAGACCAGCTGAACGGATAAGCTCCTAGCTGGAGTGGTCTCTTTTCTGCTGGGCTCTCTGCAGTTGCAATACCTCAACTGGCCACATGTGGTGGAGGCGGCAGCATTGAGTTGGGACCCCCAAGCTCCAGACTGACACAGCTTGAACGATATGATATATAAAAGCACTTTGTGACTGGAGGGACCAGAGTCAACAAAGCCTTACAGGTGACTGAAACTTGAATCTAGTCCAGGACTCCCTAGAGTCCCTGAGCACTGGAAAACCTTGTGAACAAGCCAGTATTAAGCATACAGCTCTATACATTCCTTATAGATGAGTGTTCAGACATTTCGTACATGATGCACTTTGATTTCCTTTCCATCTTCATTCCCAGCTGTGGTTCAAAAGCAAGATCCCCATTCATGGTGTTTACCGTTGGTGTGCCTTTGCCTAGCAGAGGGAAGAAAATGACTCTGGTTCCATCTCTCCAGCTAGCAGGATTCCGATTCACTCTATATCCATTTTTTTTCAAACGAGGAGAGTAAACCTGCTAGAATAATCTTGAAAATGTGGATTAGAATTCAGGGGGCTTTGTGTCTCTTCTGTGTGCTGCACGCACTCAGTAGACTCCAGGCTGCACTGGGCTTAGCAACGCTCTTGATGGTTGTCAACAGCCTAGATTTGGAACGATTTTTAGGAGAGTATTTACCACTCCAAACCCCATGTGTGAGGCAGTCTTCCATTTAGCATGCTGGGAGTGTGATGAGAGGAGAGCTGGGTCATAATGATGCTATAATTGTGGACAGCTAATTGAACAGGAAAGTCCTAAAGAAGTTGCCAGTGTGGGAAACTACTGTATGGCTGGAGCTCCACTTAACACAATGCATGGTGCTGATCCCTTATAAAGCATACATCTGGGAGTAGGAATGGAGGTGGGAGAGGGGCAGTCAGGAGGAGCTGTCTGCCTGTTGAGGCTAAGGATTTCACTTAGCGTGAGTGTTGATATTCTGCCAATGATTGGATGTGGCCTTGTATCTGTGGTGGGTTCAGATCAGCTTGCAAGATTCTTTATCCAGTTCTTTGGGCCACCGTAAGCACATAGAATATACATTCCATTTCCCACCTCTCTGATCAGTGTCTGCATGTTGCTGCTATTTGTTCAGTCTCCCACCAGAACTTCAACTCCCAAGCCATTAACCTGACTCCCAGCAGATACGAAATATATATATATAAAATCAGTGAGAGCTAGTGCAAGGCCAGGTCTACACTTGCCCAGAGAGCAATTCTCTGGAGATTGATCTCCCAGGGTTTGATTTAGTGGATCTAGTAAGGACCTGCTAAATCAACTGCTGATGGTGCCCCCATCGACCCCAGTACTCCACGGTGTTGCGAAAAGTAAGGGAAGTTGACAGGAGAGTTTCTCCCATCAACCTTCTGCAGTGGGGACGCCACAGAAATTTGACTTAAGGTACATCGAATCCAGCTAGCTATTCTCATAGCTGGAGTTGTGTATCTTAGTTCGACTTTCTTGCATCGTGTAGACTCGGTCTGAGTCTGTTTACCTCACTCCTAGCTGCTGTGTAGACATCTCCTCTCTTAGCTCACTTGTTCTGCCAGCAGGGCAGAGTCCAAACCAGATCCCCATGAGCAGTCTCTGTCAGGCCGTTGCTGGAGACAGGCCTCCAATCAGGTCTCCTGCTTTGTCTGACCCAAGTATCTCTGCATCCAAGCTGATCCTACAGCCAGTGCCAGGGGTTTTATCTCCATTGGAGAGACATGTAATATACTCAAAACAAAGGCACTGTGGTCTTGTGGTTACCAAAGAGACTGGGAGTCAGGATTCCTGGGTCCAACACACATCTCTGTCACTAACCTTGGGCAAGTCACTTAATCTCTTTGTACCTCAGTTTGTCCATCTGTAAAATCAGGATGCTATTTACCTGCCATGCAGGATTGTCAGAAAGTAATTGAGAGCCTTGGATGCAAGTATTATAGACGCGCGCAGTATCAGTGTTACCACAGAAGCATTGCAACTCAGCCCCCTCTTCCAAAGGACAAAACTATCTTTATTGTCACTGTTGACCAAATTGTCATGGGGAATTTGTATGCCAAGCAGTAGAGGTTGAAAAACTGTCCTAAGTGTACAATCTACTTGTCTGCAGATGCCAGTTTGCATGTACACAAGAAGGCTATGTCTACACTACAGAGGTTTTTTTTGGAAAAAGGGCTGTTTTTCCAAAATAACTTGTGGAGCATCCACACCTCAAGCACGTTTTTGTGCAAAAAAATTAAAAGAAAGAGGGGGTTTTCCGGGGTAGGTATTCCTCATTCTATAAGGAAGAATGCCTTTTATCGAAAGAGCTTTTTCGCAAAATGGTGTGTGCGAATGGGGAAGAGGGTTTTTTTGAGCAAAAAGAGGAAAGAGGAAAAAACACAAGTGCCCTGGTGGCCATTCTGTGCATAGCATCAGAGCTTACTTTCGAGAGAGCATCCATGCAAGTCTGGACGCATGCGCTTTTGCAGTGTGGACGTGCTCTTGCGCAAGAAGTTTTTGCGGAAGATCTCTTCCAATAAAAGCTTCTTGAGCAAGAAGCTTGCAGTCTAGATATAGCTGAAGAGGACCAGCTGTGACCCTGTGTATGACATATCATTCCTTTCTCATAAAAGGGGTATTGCCTGAACACATTCTTCCCTTTTTAACCCTACCCTCAAATTCATAGGCAGACCTGGAACTCCTCTGAACTAAGAATGCATCTACACAGCACAGTTATTTTAAAATAACTGACATTATTTAGAAATAACAGTGCAAGTGTCTACACAGCAATTCTGTTATTTCAACATAATTTTGAAATTACAGATGGCTTATTTCAAAATCTGTAAATCTCATTCCATGAGGAATAACGCTTATTCTGAAATAGCTGTTTCGGAATAGCAGTAGTGTGCACGCCCCGCTGCTATTTCGAAATAGCTCCTCCCCAGGGCAGTCAGAGTAATTACTCCCCTGTGCATCCTGTGGCTCTAAATTGAGGTAGCACGTCTACATTAGGGAAGCCACCCTCGGAGTCATTTGAGGCTTCTTTGTAGTGTAGACGTGCTATTTCGAAATAAGCTATTTGGAAAAAAAAATCCAACATAGCTTATTTCGAAATAAGTGTGCTGTGTAGATGTACCCTGACTGATTTCCCTGCTAATTCCTCATGTGTAATCATAATGGCCACATCAAGGAGGGGGACGTTTTGTAGGAATGCAGCCACTGTTCCCCTTTTCCCTGATGCTGCAGGTACTGAGTGTCCTTGTCATGGCTCCTGCCCCACTCTGGCATGATAAATGCAGAAGTGGGGGCCAGCAAGTGTATGTCATGGCTCCTTCCCCACTCTGGCATGATAAATGCAGAAGTGGGGGCCAGCAAGTGTACCCCAAAGCCTTATCTACCAGGCTTTGGTATAAAACTTCCCCCAAAATCTTAAAAACCTAGATCTTGGGAATAAAACTTCCGCTGCCACCACCCAAATGTTGATATGAAATCAGGGAAGAGATCATTTGGGAGATCTCACCCCTAAAATAAAAATCAGGGCACACAATTAACCACTGCCAGGTTAATAAAAAAGAAAAGAAAGAACTTTTATTATTACAACAATATTCCGGTTGCAAGCATAATGACTAGATAGGAAGGTAACAAAATATACTCATGGAGAAACTCCATGGGCCTAGAACTTAGTTACAAAGAAAAGCCAAAACATCTTTTAACCAATGCCAGATCTCAGATCCCATATCCAACCTTTAAAACAATAAAGCCTAACAAAACTACCTAAACTGTACCCTACTTACAGAAAATGAAGAATGGTATCTTGGCGAGAGAGAGACATGCTTGTCCCTCTCTGTAGCTGCAGAGAACTCACCCAGACAGAGAAAAGGGAGAAAGGAAAAAAACCCAAATTCCTTTGTCCCAGTTTGAAAGTCCCACCTACATTCTTATTGGTCACTCCACCTGGCTAGGTGGAGTTTACTCCTTAATCCCCAGGCTGCTGGCTAACCCTCATAATCATGACAGTCCTCCACTCTCATTGATCTGAATGGGAGCTGTGGACATTTGCAAGATTGGGCGCTAATGGACAGTGTATTGTATTGTCATTCCCCAAAGAGAGATTTAGAAAGTGCCTGGTTAAACTTGTCCCTCTTGAAATGTTGGCTGGAGTCTCACTTGTAAATTTCTGGTCCAAGAGGTTTAAGCTTTGATAAAGCAAATGGTATTGTTGGATAAACTTGTCCCATCCAGGAGCTACCCTGCCTGTGTTCACACATCCATTGGTTAGGGCACTAGCGCCCTCTTTCCCATGGTGCTTGTGTATGTGCATAAATATCTGTGCATGCGGCTTTCCTCTGCCATTTGTACAGCCTCTTCACTCTCATGAGCTGCCTGGACACTGCAGGTCCAGAAGCTCTATCCTGTTGCATGACCAAAGGGGGAAAGCCCTGTGTTTCTTGATGTCCATGAGGGGCCTACATGTCTGCTCATGTTCTTCTCCTCTTCTGGGTAGGGAAGTCACGGGCTGGGTAGAATTGGAGTTGGGCAGATGCAGGGCAAGCAGTGAGCATGTGACCCTCCGATGCAGAGGTGGGACCCGCAGGAGACGGCTGAAGAAGCCATGTGCACAACAGCTGGAGCTGAGGTTCTCCCCCCTGCAAATGCAGAGGGCAAAGGATGGTATTAGGGAAGGGAACTGGGTCACATGTACAGTATCTTAATAGCCACAGATTTCAATAATCCAAGAGACCTGGGGGAATCCAAGTGCCTTATCCAGTGGGGGAGAGAAATCGCTCCAAGAAAACAAAGAGCCAAAGCTGGCTCCCAGTAGCGCTGTCGTAATTCCATTGAAATCAGCAGGGCTCCACTGGGGTAAAGAGAGTGGAATTGGCCCCTTACCGCCAAACAGCTTTTCTACTGCCAAACTCCCAAGGAAAGGAAACCTCAGCAAGGCTGGTTCCCTGTGCATCACCCCGAGGGAGCTATGGGGAGCTACAGAGGGCTTGGTAGCTGTGAGACCATCTCACTGAAGAAAGGAGTTGTTGCCTGTCATGAAGAGGTGGAAGGTGTAGCTCCAGTTGTACCCCCTCTATCTGCCTTACCTCTCATTGGTGGCTCTCTCTTGCAATGCTCCATGGATAGTGGGATCCCCCCACCCCTCCTTTTTCCAAAATATCTAACTGTCAAATAGCCTCACTGGAAAAGAGGGGCCCAGTCCAGGGTCTCAGACCCAGACTTTGGAGGGGGTAGATGAAATACTCTGGGTTTGAGAAAGGTGTTTGAAATAGGAATCCGTATGGCTGTTTCTTCCCTGTTCATTTCTATGCCCCTTCCCCTGCTTCTGTGGTTCTTACCCTGTGGCTGCTTACCAGCTGGTAAAGAAAATAAACCCCTGTGATGTGGACAGATGGCTGTTTGGGACCATTTCCTTGTAATGATAGAAGGAGGTTTGGTCTGAACACAGAATGGGAAGGCTGGATCTCCTGGGTTCTATGCCCACCTCTGCCACTGACTTGCTATGTGACCTTGGGCAATTCACTTAAGTGTTCTGTGCCTCAATTTCCCCATTTATAAAATGGAGATAATGATACTGACCTACCTCACATGGGGCAGAGGTGAGGATGAGCTGATATTTGTAAAGCGCTTTGAAGTTGTCCAGTGCTTTATAAATGTTAAGTTCTTGATTCTGAGGAAGACCTACTTCACCTTAAACAGATGGCAGCTTAACAGATCGCAATCTGAGTCTCAGAATCACATTGGAGTGAGGTTTGTATTACAGCTCCAACCTACAGCTACTTTCCTCCTCCTTATGAAATTTGGAACAAACAGATGTGTTCCCCAAGCCTGATTTCCTCTGCTGGGCAAGTATCCCATAGTGAAAAAGGCCACAAAGAGTCTGTCTGCACTGCAGGGCTTAACTCAAAATAAGCTACACAAATTGAGCCACGTCAATTGCGAATCTTATTTCGAAATCGGGAGCGTTCACACAGCACTTATTTCGAAATAGAGCACTCTGCCTCCGACTTTCCTTCTTTCTCATACAATGAGGGAGTCGGAATAAGAAGTCCTCTAGCTTGATAGTATTTTGGCACTATTTTGAAATAGCTGCCTGCTGTGTAGATGCGGACTGAGTTCTTTTGGAATAGCGCTAGTTATTTCGAAATAGGGTTGCAGTGTAGACATACCCAAAGTGACCAGCGAGATGCCAACATTTGCAGCTGCCCTAGAAGAGGCAGTAAATAAACAAAGGAAAAGATTATCACAGCTGGGAGAAGCAACTGAGAAATGGTTCTGCTCCTTTAATATCTGCTGTCTTTATTTTGCACTTTTGGTCTTAACCAGCGCACTGCCATGGCGCTCAGAAATCCAAGGTCCAAACAGAGGGGAAAGCACTTCTTCCTGCCTTATCCCATCTCCCTATGCAAAATACTCTGCTTTATCGCTTCGTCCTGGCGGGGATTCACCCCCAAAGGAGGTGGGTGGATGGAGAGATCCACCCACCTGGCTTCACTTTCTTTTCACAGCTGTCTTGCAGGCACACGTCATTTCCAGGACCATGGGTCTGGTCTTCTCACGCTTTGGTTAGGTTAATGACACTAGGAATGCTGAATCATGGGACTGAAGGTGCAGAAAATTGGAAACTAATCTCATGCTGGTGACAGCTTCCCACATGATCATATTTCATTTGTCTCGATTTCAAAGCCAAATCAAAGGGGAAATTTTTAAAGGCAGAAATGAGTTATTTGCCCTGTTGCCTGTCAATGGGAGATGGAAGTCTAACAATACCTGCCCCCGCTTCAGATCTCATTCACACAGCCCCAGATTTGCTGAGCCGGAGGCACTATTACTGTCAAGTTCCAGATCTTCTTGTGCTTTATAAGTCCTTTCTATAGTATAACCAGGGATGATCTGATTGTTATAACCTTTGATACTAACTTTCAATGACTTGTAACATTTACGATGTCTGTGAATGAGATTTGCTGAGTGATTTTTTTGTATTTAGTGTCTTTTATTTTATGCCATCCACTCTTGTGACTCAGTATTTTATATTTAACACAGTATTTAATTTTAAAAAAGTAGTGATAATGCTAGAGAATATCATTTCTTGTGGGGTAGGATTTAAATAAAGACTCAAGATACCTCACCGGTGCTTGCTTTTTCTCCAATGTGTTTGTTATGTCAAAGTGAGGATTTTTTGGAGGATCTTAAACAAAATAACACCCAAGAACCAAACCACACACATCAATTTGGTCTCCAATTCTCCCAAAATTGGGATCAGAGGGA